TTTTAGTATCTTCTGCAGAGGATGATACAGTGCTATAATTTATGTCCCTGTCCATGTCAGAAATGAGAGTGAGCAAGCGGGACGAGTACCTTGCCTTCTTGCTGTTGATGCTGATGCCGATACTATTATGAGTGCTAGTTGTGCTGTTACTTCTGGTATTACTACTGTTTCGCTCAAGTTAGGTTCATTGAAAGCCGGTGAGAGGCTCTTGATCAAAGGAATGGGACTTCTTCCTTAGATCGAGCCTGAATGTTTCGTATCCCTAGGTGCGGTGTGACCCCTACGGATTTAGCGCTTCCTTCCTATATTATAATAAATAATTATACTGCTGTTGATGTACTGTTACTAATGCTGATGTTTTTGCTGCTAGTGGTAGTGTTGCTGCTGCTTCCTGTACCCTGGTGGTCGAGCATGTCGGGTAGGGTCTGCACCATGGTGAGTGCATCTTTATAGTGTTAGACGCCCGGTGAGAGAGGGAGGGTGGCAGTAAGGAAGTGTGTGCTGGTGTGGTACACATTGGAGGAAAAAATAGCAGTAGTGTAGGGCATCCCTTCTCTCTGCCGGAGTCGGTATTACCTCTGGGTTCTGCCTCTCCTCTTTTGTGATGTGAATTAACTCTGCCATTTTATATAAACAAAGACATAATTTGCCGAGTTCATTATTTGTGACTTGAATACCAAGCGCTGGTACACCAGCATTTGTTATCAGTGGGTGGGGTAGCATTATGACCAACACCAACGTAGACTAACCAGATACCACCATCTATTTAACATTTGAAAGATGGTACTGACTTGATGCCTAATGTCATTATTTATCAAATTTAACTTCTTTTTTTTTACTGCCCTTACGTCTCAATTATTAGTTTCGGCATTTAGATTCTATTTGTATCCCTTTGTTGTTGCTAGTGTCCGGGTAAAGTGTCGTAGTTAACCTTGTTTATTCTTGGTTTTTCAGAGACCAGGGAGACAGTTGGGGCAACCACTCCCTGTAGTTATTTCTCAGCGTCGTACTAATATGGATGCATGCATTTGAACTTTTTCTAGTGTTGATTTGTTTTCAGTGTTACACACTGGTACAATGTGCTTAAGCATTGCTCGCACATGCGTAAATTAAAGGGAGCATCTGGATATGTGAAGGCCATCCTTAGGTTTCTTAGCCTAGATTTTACCGCTAACATTTTTATATTAACACGTTGGGTTTAGTGTAATATTTACATAAAGTTTTCAATATCTGGTCTTTCTTGGAGGGTTTAACTCCAATACCCGTATCTTCGATCATTCTTATAGCACTACCTCGTCCAGTTGTTAGAACAGCCATGCTGTGATGGCAGCTGGGCGTCGAAATCCAAAACTGAACAAGATATATAAATTTCAAAAATAATATGTAATACATACAAAAAATACATAAATTTGCATAGAAATAAATACACAAGCAGTTACAGATTTGCCAACCATATGGAAACGATGACGTCATCAGTGTTAATATGCAGTTAGCTGCAACATTACATTATTATAATCAAGGGGGAAGCGCTAAACCCGGAGGATTATACAGCGCCTGGGGGGGGATGTGGAAGGCATTCAGGCTTAATTCGGGGAACTGGAGCACAGATCCAATTCCCTAAATCAAGAGCCCCTCACCAACATCAAGGAACCTTCCTTGAGGGGTGCAACATTACAGATGCCCAGTGTTTTGAACACTGAAATGTTACTCACTCACTCATAGACTTTAAAATGCCTGTTTCCCAGATTTTGCATATTTTTTTTTTCCAAATTTTAACATCAGTATTATTAATCAGTGCCCTTGGCCCTTGTGAAGCTTCATTGATTTTATCCTGGCAGTGAAGGAGTGCTGTACATTGTTGAGCTGTGGTACACCTGTCTTGAAGCAGGTGTCAACTGTCCCAGACGTGAAGACATCAGACTGCAATACCACAATCATTGGCCAACAACGGTTCCTATCACTGCCTGGAAGTGACTGAGATGGAGTAATGGTGTGAGGGAAGTTGTGGGTGATGAGTGAGGGGTTGTGAGAGGGAATAAAGGAGGGGTTGAGAGAGGGATTGAAGGAGGGAATAAAGGAGGGGCGGGAGAGATGATGGAGGGGGTTATGGGAACGGGTTGGGAAGGGGTGAAGGAGGGAGAGCATCGATCCAGTGTTGGCGCCCGAGGATCTGCTCTGGTCTGAGTCCTGCGAGTGAGTCATCTCTACCCTTCTTCCCCCCTCGTACCTCCTCTCCCTTCCCAACCATCCACCCGGCGTGTGCGCGTGCGTGTGCGTCACGTGGCTGCAAGTGAAACACTCTTCTATACCAGGCCAGAAGTCTTGTTACTGACTTCCTTCTCTCTCTCTCTCTCTCTCTCTCTCTCTCTCTCTCTCTCTCTCTCTCTCTCTCTCTCTCTCTCTCTCTCTCTCTCTCTCTCTCCCCTCTCTCTCTCTCTCTCTCTCTCTCTCTCTCTCTCTCTCTCTCTCCTCTCTCTCTCTCTCTCTCTCTCTCTCTCTCTGAGATATCACAGCGCCGTCAACTACTTAGCATCATCTTAGGTGGGTGGGTATGGCGCCAGCGCCTCGTCTTGAGTGTTCTTGATGTGACCGTATTACTGAAACTTACTGTCAACACTGTACAGCTGCATCTTGTGTTCTGTCGTTTCTCACTCATCATCACTCATAATGTAAGTGTAAAAAAAAAAAAATGAAAATCTATCAGTTTCTGATCAGCTGAGTTGTGGTGCTTAGTTGGGCCGCCTGTCACTTCATCAGTACTTTTTAAGTGTTAATCAGGTCACTAATTAGGAGTTTTGGTCCAGGAGCGGGGCGCGGGGGCAGTGATCCCAGAAACAATCATTATACACAAGTAACCCCCACATAAAGAGAGGAGCTTACGACGACGTTTCGGTCCTACTTGGACTTTGTTTATGGTCCAAGTCGGAACGAAACGTCGTCGTAAGCTCCTCTCTTCTGTTTGCAGGTTACTTGTGTACTGTTCCAGTCACGGTATTGCACTTTTTTTTGTTACTAATCATTATGTGGGTAGGAAGGCACAGGTATTAGGTAGACGACAGGCTGTCAGAAAAATGATTCCCAAGTATTGCACAGCGTCTTATTTATCATTTTGTTGGTTTTCTAAACCATGTATTCAATTTCTTAAAGAATGTAAAAAAAAAAAAAATCGTAATAGAACTGTAGAAAATTTGAAACAGAACAAAAGAGAAGTTTCGCATTGATTTTGGGTTGTATGATTTTAAATTTGCCAATTTTATTTAAATGGTTTTTGTGTAGCAACTAGAGAATGCATATTCTGATTGGCTTCAAATCTTTAATGCTGCTGAATCCCCCCCCCCCCAAAAAAAAAAAAAAGTTTGGATTGATTTTGGGCTATAAGTGCCATTTTTATTGAATCTGGGAACATTAAAATACTGATTTTTATTTGACAATTTGTGAATGGTTCATGTAATCTGCTAGGCTTCTACGTTGGTAACTTAAAAATGTAATTTCTGAGCGCCCCAGACTTAGTGATGGTGTATTTTCCTCTGAAGGAAATTCGTACTGTTATTGAGGCGTGTTTAGCGCTTAGTTCTGATTGTAATAGGAATAATATTGGGCCATGTAGGCTGTAATTCGTACTTTGCCAGGTCTATTAAACTGGTGGGAATATTGGTCTCGTTCTGATAGCTATAGAATGCCTCTTGTTTGGTGCTAAATGGCTGTTGTGTCTTAGTGGAAGTGTCTGATTGGTTTTCGGCCACATGGGTGGTGCCAGTTTGCCATTTTTATTGAAATTAGGATATCAGTTTCCAGGCGATAACTTGTGAATGCCACTTCTGTTTGACGTCAGATCTTCAGTGATGATATTTGACTCCAATAAAAACTTGTGTGGTACTCTGTATTATTCCTTTTTGCTTTCTGGGATAATGGGATATAAGGGATACCGCTCTTGGATCGTGTAGCCAGTGAAACATGTCTTGTTTTCCGGTATATACCTTTTCAGTGGTGAGATACAATAGGATAGAGGACGTAGTTATCAGGGACCAAAGATTATTTTATTATTATTATTATTAGTAGTAGTAGTAGTGGGTTGTGGTAATAGTAGCACTGGTAGTAGTAGTGGTGGTACATGTAATAGTATTGTTATTGACAATTTGCAATTAGTATTTTTTATTGTTTATTTTGTAAAGGCTTGTAAGTAATGTACTTTTATAGGAGTGTTACTGTAAATGTTTGGTCAGCTGTAATTGTCTCATTCTTTTGTGTCATCTTTGTCTACTCTGGTGCCATCATACTCACAATTAATGTTATTACTTGGTTGTTAACATTGATGCTGTTATATTCTTAATGAATGTGTACTCTTGAATGTGTTCTTGTTTTTGTTCACGTGTTGCAATCCCGCCCTGGGGTCTCACTTGTTTTTGCTCACGCGTTACACTCCCGCCTTGGGTCTCGCTTGTTTCTGTTCACTTGTTACACTCGTCCCGGTCCCCACTTGTTTTTGTTCGCTTGTTATACTCCCGTCCCGGGGCCCTCACTTGTTTTTGTCGCGTCTTGTACTTGTCATTTACCTGTTTGTTCTTTACACTTTTGTTGAGTATTTGACTTCTGTTTGAAGTGTGGTTAATGACACCGTGAGTACCTGTATTAACAACAACGTTAAGCCCATACAGTGGACTTTATAAGGTCAGTATTGAATACATCAGAAGTGTGTGTGTGTGTGTGTGTGTGGTGTGTGTGTGTGTGTGTGTGTGTGTGTGTGTGTGTGTGTGTGTGTGTGTGTGTGTGTGTGTGTTCACACACACACAGGAAGGAAGGTTAGGTGTATGGTAATATCTGCAGTGCTGTATATACATATAATCTTTTTCGTGCATTCTATACTGACTTGAAAAAAAACTGTATCTAAGTGTTATTTACTCCGCCTTGTCGGTATTTATATACCCTTGCGGTTCCAGTTTGTTTTAAATCTTGCGTAGTGTCTTGCTTACAATTCTAACAAACTTGTTTCCCCCCGTCAGGATGTGTGACTCTGGCAGTTGAGGTAGAGCCGGGAGCCATGCAGGGTAAGTTACTCAAGTGACAGACACCTACTTCAGCCTAGCTTCTACTCTATGTGCTCTTGAGGTATTTATATTACCTTATATTTTGGTAAGGTATAGTTGAATTTACAGAAGTTTAAGTGGTTGCGAGGTATTTATCATAGGCAAAGGCGGAGTATTTTTTTTCAGAATGGTTGGTAATATGCCGCTGTGGATAAAACATTGACAGGCGGGTCCAGGAGCTGAGTCTCGACCACAGCAACCACAATTAGGTGAGTATACACACACACACACACACACACACACACACACACACACACACACACACACATATGTATATGCGTACGCACGCATATACAACAGGCCTAGTGTCTAATCGACATGTGCCTAGGACAAAATGGTAATTAACACACACACACACACAGTATTAGAACAGAAGTTGAAGGTTTGGTACACAAATGCAGATGGATTAACGAATAAACATGAGGAATGGCAAGAAAGAATCAATGAGAAGTCCCCAGACATCATAGCAGTTACAGAAACAAAACTCACGGAGACAATAACAGATGCAATCTTCCCACCAGGATACCAGATCATGAGGAAAGATAGAAGGGGCAGGGGGGGAGGTGGGGTTGCTCTGCTCGTAAAAAGCAAATTGAAATTCGAGATAATGGAAGGCATAGATGAGACGGGAGAAAGAGACTACATAGCAGGTACACTTCAGTCTGGGGAACACAAAGTGGTCATTGCAGTGATGTATAATCCACCACAGAACTGCAGGAGGCCAAGAGAGGAATATGAAGAGAGCAACAGAGCAATGGTGGACACACTTGCTGAGGTGGCAAGAAGAGCTCACTCCAGCAGAGCAAAGTTGCTGGTTATGGGGGATTTCAACCACAGGGAGATTGACTGGGAAAACCTGGAGACACATGAGGGTCCAAAACATGGAGAGCCAGGATGTTGGACGTGTGCTGGAAAACCTCATGCACCAACATGTTAAGGACACTACCAGAGTGAGAGGGGAGGATGAACCAGCAAGATTGGACCTTGTGTTCACCCTGTGCAGCTCAGACATTGAGGACATCAAGTATGAGAGTCCCCTAGGAGCTAGCGACCACGTGGTTCTGTGCTTTGAATACATAGTAGAGCTGCAAGTGGAGAGAATAACAGGAGTTGAATGGGAAAAGCCTGACTATAAAAGAGGGGACTACATAGGGTTGAAGAACTTCCTGCGGGAGAGGTCCAGTTGGGACAGAGAACTGGCAGGAAAGCCAGTAAATGAAATGATGGAATATGTAACAACAAAATGCAAGGAGGCAGTGGAAAGGTTTATTCCCAAGGGCAACAGTAACAACGGGAAGACCAGAACGAGCCCCTGGTTTACCCGACGGTGTAAGGAGGCAAAAACAAAGTGCAATAGAGAATGGAAAAAGTACAGAAGGCAGAGAACACACGAAAATAGGGAGATCAGTTGCAGAGCTAGGAATGAGTACGCACAGGTAAGGAGGGAGGCCCAGCGACAGTATGAAAATGACATAGCATCGATAATCAAGACTGACCCGAAACTGTTGTATAGCCACATCAGGAGGAAGACAACAGTCAAAGACCAGGTGATCAAAGGCGATGGGACCGGACAACATCTCCCCATGGGTCCTTAGAGAAGGAGCAGAGATGCTGTGCGTGCCTCTAACCACAATCTTCAACACATCCCTTGAAACTGGGCAACTACCTGAGAAATGGAAGACAGCTAATGTAGTCCCCATATTTAAGAAAGGAAACAGAAACGAGGCACTAATCTACAGACCTGTGTCTCTGACATGTATTGTGTGCAAAGTCATGGAGAAGATTATCAGGAGGAGAGTGGTCGAGCACCTGGAAAGGAACAAGATTATAAATAAAAACCGATGGTTCATGAAGGCAAATCTTGTATCACAAACCTCCTGGAGTTTTATGACAAGGTAACAGAAGTAAGACACGAGAGAGAGGGGTGGGTAGATTGCGTTTTCCTAGACTGCAGGAAGGCTTTTGACACAGTTCCCCACAAGAGATTAGTGCAGAAGCTGGAAGATCAGGCGCATGTAAAAGGGAGGGCACTGCAATGGATAAGGGAATACCTGACAGGGAGGCAGCAACGAGTCATGGTACGTGAAGAGGTATCACAGTGGGCGCCTGTTACGAGCGGGGTCCCACAGGGGTCAGTTCTAGGACCAGTGCTATTTTTGATATATGTGAACGACATGATGGAAGGAATAGACTCTGAAGTGTCCCTGTTCGCAGATGACGTGAAGTTGATGAGAAGAATTAAATCGGACGAGGATGAGGCAGGACTGCAAAGAGACCTGGAGAGGCTGGACATGTGGTCCAGTAACTGGCTTCTCGAATTCAATCCAGCCAAATGCAAAGTCATGAAGATTGGGGAGGGGCAAAGAAGACCGCAGACAGAGTATAGGCTAGGTGGACAAAGACTGCAGACCTCACTCAGGGAGAAAGACCTTGGGGTGACCATAACAACGAGCACATCACCGGAGGCACACATCAACCAAATAACTGCTGCAGCATACGGGCGCCTGGCAAACCTGAGAATAGCGTTCCGATACCTTAATAAGGAATCGTTCAAGACACTGTACACTGTGTATGTTAGGCCCATACTGGAGTATGCAGCACCAGTCTGGAACCCACACCTGGTCAAGCACGTCAAGAAGTTAGAGAAAGTACAAAGGTTTGCAACAAGGCTAGTCCCAGAGCTCAAGGGAATGTCGTACGAGGAAAGGTTAAGGGAAATCGGACTGACGACACTGGAGGACAGAAGGGTCAGCGGAGACATGATAACGACATACAAGATACTGAGGGGAATAGACAAGGTGGACAGAGATAGGATGTTCCAGAGAGGGGACACAGGGACAAGGGGTCACAACTGGAAGCTGAAGACTCAGACGAGTCACAGGGACGTTAGGAAGTATTTCTTCAGTCATAGAGTTGTCAGTAGTGGAGGCAGGAACCATACATAGTTTTAAGAAGAGGTATGACAAAGCTCAGGAAGCAGAGAGAGAGAGGATCCAGTAGCGATCAGTGAAGAGGCGGGGTCAGGAGCCGAGTCTCGACCCCTGCAACCACAATTAGGTGAGTACAATTAGGTGAGTACACACACACTTTCCTCTCGGCATTGTAAAAGAGTCCTGCAACGCTGTATAAAATCTTTAAAATATGTAAAAAAAGTCTTAAAATACTATGTAAAAAGTCTTAAAATACTATGTAAAAAAGTCTTAAAATACTATGTAAAAAGACATAAAACACTAAAAAAAAGGCCTTAAAGTCTTAAAATTTCCATGTGAAGTCTTAAAACTTTACAAAAAAAAAAAAGGGTCTTAAAATTTTTGAAAGAAATTTTTTCCCAATTTTTTTATATTTTTCAGTAAGTTATCCTGTTGATTGTTTGGCAAAAAATTGACATGCTCCGGCTGCAGCTCCTCACATCTTCTGTCTTTTTCCTCATTACCTACCTTTTTTTTCTCATCCCCTTTTTTTTTTCCCTCATCACCCTTGTCTTTTTTCTCTTTCCACCGCCCTTTTCTGAAATCACCAGTCGACCACGATCCCTATCAAGAGCGGGCCGCGGGGGCGTTCATCCGGATCTCTCAGAAAGTTTTAAAATCCAAGAGTTAGCTAAGTAATCACATTGTAGTTTCTAAACGTAAAGGAAGGGACTCGAAACGAGCCCCATAAAAAAGGGGGGAAGAGGTTTAAAGAGCAAAAAGAAACAAAAAGAGTAAAAAAATTTAAAAATTAATAATGTCAGATGAAAATTCACTTAGGGAAAACAAAAAACAGATGCGGAAAAAGGGCTAAAAAAAAGACGGGGAAATTAATGAGAACATTAAAAAAAGGGGAAAACTGGGTTAAAACCCTGTGATTAAAAACGCCCACATGTCAAACCAAATGCTGTATTAAAAAGAGTTATTAAGGAAACGTTTCGTCTGTAAAATTCATCCAGATACATTTTCACTCTGCATTTGTTTACAGGGAAAAATAGAGAAAAATGTAAAATCACTTTGGGGCTCTACACTTGGAATATTGCCCCTAAACCGGACACCCCCTCCCCCGAAGCCCAAAAAACCATTTAGATTTCGGGGTTTCCCACAAAGCCCCGGGAATGACCTCTGGAGTGAAAAAGATCCCTGATAATATACATTTTTGGGAAGATACGGGAAATTCCAATCACATACAAACGTAATTACGGAATGGGGGGACAGGGGGGTTTAAGGGGAAGATAAATCCAGTTTGGGGGGCACAAAAAAGAACGCCCAACATATTGGGTCCAAGTCTTCACCTTGCTCCCAACACAGAAAAGAAAAAATTCCGGAACAAGTATAAAAGTTTTTAAAAGGGGAAAACTGTGTAAACTGCCTCCATAAATTTTTTGTCGATCAACAAAGAAAGTAATGGCTTTGTGGACCGGGGGACGCTGTTAAAAAACAGCCGGATTTGAACAAAATTTTTAGAAAAGTGTACCTTAAAAAGGGCCCATTTAACGGGTTACCATTTTTCCCAAACCCATTATTTTTCTAACTTTTCTAATAATGTATCTACTTTTCAAACAATGTCGAAAATTTAGGGTATTCACTGGCCCAAACCCTTCACAAGGGGCCCCCCCTCCCCACACAGGGGGTGGTGCTCCCCCCCAAAACATTTGGGGTGCCCTCCCCACACATTGAAGACCCCTGTGGTGCTCCCCCCCAAAACAGTAAAGGGACACTGGGGTGCCCCCTCCCCACACTTAAAGACACTGTGGCGTTCCTCCCCACACAGGGGAAACACTGGGTGCTCCCCCCCACACAGTGAGACACGGTTTCTCCTCCCTACACAGTGAAACACTGTGGTGCTCCCCCTACACAGGAAGACACTGTGGGGGCTCCCCCTCCCCCAGTGAAGACACTGTGGTGCTCCTCCCCACACAGTGAAGACACTGTGGTGCTCCTCCCCACACAGTGAAGACACTGTGGTGCTCCTCCCCACACAGTGAAGACACTGTGGTGCTCCTCCCCACACAGTGAAGACACTGTGGTGCTCCTCCCCAACAGTGAAGACACGTGGGGGCTCCCTCCCCACACAGTGAAGACAAGGTTTGTCCCAAACTTACACAGTGAAGACACTGTGGGTGACCCCCTACACAGTAAAAGGAACACGGGGTTTCTCCCCCCTACACAGTGAAGACACGTGGTGCTCCCCCCCCCACACAGTAAAGACACTGGGTGCTCCTCCCCCAAAACGGGGA